TCAGGAAAGAGAAATTGTTCATACGGTATTAACACTGTACCAACTTTTTATGGATTGACTGCTCAAAGTATACGCACGTTGTAAGCAGAGAAAAATAAAATTTCACTTACTTTAAATACGACTAAAGGAATGTATGGTAAGGATTGACTTTATATAAAACCGGAAGCCACTAGCATTAGCAGAGTTACCGCATTCAACAAAAGCGAACTAAATACATATATTTATTAATATAGAGTCGCTATTTGAAAAATACCATTTTGAAGTTCATTGCATGTACAATGGGGACGAAACGGTTATTTCGAATGTTCCCAACCAGGCCAGAAATTGGCAAAAAAAGGGAAAAGTAAGTTGGTGCGATAACATGCGGAGAAAGGGGAGAAAATAATACCGTAGTATGCTGCTTTAGTGCATCAGGGCAATATATCCTGCCTATGTTTATTTTTAAGAGATTAATGATGAAAGATGGTTTGGAAAAAAATAGTCACACGGGCGCGATATACAAATGTTGGAAATCTGAATCGATTACAGAAGAGCTGTTTACCAAATAGTTGCAACATTTCGCAAAATTTACTAGCGCTACTACAGAGCAACCTATTCTTCTAATACTTGATAAACATTCCACTCATTTCTCTTTAGCTTCCTAAAATTTTTGTCGAAATTCTAACATCCAGTTATTATTACTCCCGCCCCACACATCTCAGAACGCAGCCTCTAGATGGAAATTTTTTCTATATATATTAAACCGGTTTTATAGCGTTCTACGCCTTTCCGTTCCTAATCGCCACTCTTTTCTATTATGGCAGTGTTCATCTCTCAAATTTCGTTCCGACATTGCCTTGGAGATGCCTTTCATCCATGTGGTTACTGGTCTTCCTCGTTTTCGTTTTTCTGTGGGGGTCCATTCTAACACTTTCTTGGGGATTCTTCTTTCCTCCATTCGTCTTACGTGCCCGTACCATACTAGCTGTTGTCTTTCAATGTCATCTATGATTGTTCTTTCTATTTCCATTTGTTGTCTAATGTCGTCGTTTCTTATGTGTTCTAATCTAGATCTTCTTGCTGACCTTCTCCAAAAATCCATCTCAGTGGCTAGTAATTTATCCTTGTATTTCTTAGTTAATTGCCAGACTTCAGCTCCATAAGTTAACACTGGTTTTAATATTGTGTTGTAAATTCGTTTTTTATTTTCTGTTCTTATATTTTTTTGCCACAGTACCGAATTCAGGGCTCCTATCACCTGTCTTCCCTTTACTATTCTGTCTTTAATATTTTCTTCGGTTCGTCCTGTGCTCGTTAGTTTTATTCCCAGATATACATATTCCTTACAGCTTGTAATTGTCTCCTGTTCCAGGTTCAGGTTCTCTGTTTCTTCTCTGCCTACACATAGATATTGTGTTTTTTTGGTGTTTACCTCCAGACCCCATTTTCTGTATTCCTCTATCAGTTTCCTTGTCATATATTCAAGATCTTCTTTGTCCTGTGCAATTACAATTTGGTCATCTGCATAGTGTAGCGTATAGAGTATCGTATCTCCTATCGGTAGTCCCATTCCATTGCACTTCTTCTTCCACTGCCTCAGGGCTTCATCAATATATATATTAAATAATACTGGCGATACACAGCATCCTTGCCTTAGTCCTTTAGTGACGAGGAAACCTTTGGATATTCTATTTCCAATTTTAATTTTAGATGTCGAGTTTCTATATAGTTCTTTCAGCGCCTGTATGATAGATACATTTATGCTGGTTTTTTCTAGTACTTCCCATAGTCTATTAATGGGTACCGTGTCATATGCCTTTGTTAGATCTACCATAAGCAAATGCAACTCTTGGGCTCTTGACAGCCTCTTTTCTATTACTTGGGTTATACAGAAAATGTTGTCTATTGTGGATCTACCTGCTCTAAAGCCGCTTTGTTCCTCTGACTCGTATGGATGGTACTCTTCACATGAGGTCTTTTAGTATTCTTCCGTATATTCGACTTAGTGTGCTAGTTACGGTAATACCTCTGTAGTTATTTGGGTCTTGTTTACTACCTTTCTTGTGTATAGATGTTATCCATCCCTCTTTCCATGTCTGTGGTACCGGTTCTCCATTTAGATATCTGTTAAATAATATTGTTATTATTTTTGCTAGTTTGTCAGTACCATTTTTTAGTAGTTCTGCGGGTATTCCTTCCGGACCTGGGGCGCGGCCGTTTTTTAATAAGGTTATTGCCTTTTTGATATGTTTCTCATTTATATTTATTGGCTGTCCTGTTATCTCGATTATGTTTTGTGATGTGGTACTGTATTCTGGTCTTTTTTCTACTAATAGTGTTTTGTAGTGCTCTTCCCATTTCATTGTTGTTATGGGGTTTATCATAGTTTCTTCTCTTTTGTTAGTTCTGACATTTTTAATAAATCTCCAGGCTTCCCTAGATTTTCGTCCTCCGATGTACGTGTCCAGCTCCTGACATTTATCTTCCCATTTTTGATTTTTGGCGTTTATTACATCCGTTTTGAACTTACTACGTGCTTGCTGATATTCACTTTTTTTTTGTTCGTTTTCTCTGTTATTTAGCCACTTATGGTATACTTCCTGTTTATGTTTTTTCATTTCTTCTAGCTGATCATTCCACCAGTAATTTCTAACTTCTCGCTTTTTCGTTGTGATACCTAAAGTTTCTTGTGCCGCTTTGTGTATTCCATTTATTATTGTTCTGTAGAGATTTTCCGTTGTTTCTCGTTCGTATTCTCTAGGAAGAGCTTGATCCAATCTGCTCTTGTACAAATATTGTGTGCTTTGATTTTCCAAGCTATTAATATTGTAGTGTGGTATATCTATATTTGTAAGCTCTTCGTCATTTTCTGCTCCATTTTGTTGATGCTTATCATTTCTAAATCTAGGTATGTATATTTTCGCTTTAACTAGATGATGATCGCTGCCACATTCTGCTCCTCTGTATACTCTTATGTCATTCACTTTGAGCTGTGTTTTTTGTTTAATGATCATATAGTCAATTACTGATCTAAGGTTTCTGGTGTATTGTGTCCATGTATAGGTGTGGATATCTTTATGTTTGTAGTATCCATTAGTGATTCTAAGTGAATTTCGTTGGCATACTTCAATCAGTCTGTTACCATTATCATTTAAGACGTTTTCACCGAAAGGTCCTGTAACTTTATTGTTTTGTTTGCTGCCCGTTCTGGCGTTAAGGTATCCCAAAATCACAATTTCTCGTGTGATGCCTATTTGTGATATTGTTTCATCTAAAGACTCATAGTACTTTTCTTTTTCCTCTATTCTAGCATCTTCGTTGGGTCCATACGTACCAATAACTGAGATTCGATGTGATTTTAAGTTTATGTTTATCTTTATTATTCGTTCATTGATTATTTCCCAGCTAGTGATGTTTTTCTTATATTTCTTTTTGACTAGTATTGACACTCCTCCTTTCGCATGTTCTTCCTTTTTTACTCCACCATATATGTGTATATACTTATCTATATTTTGGGTACCCTGTCCTTTTTTCTTTGTTTCTGTTAGTACTATCAGATCTATTTTCTCTTTGTCAATTTCTCGTATTATTTCTTCCATCTTACTTCTAACACCCCTCACATTCCACGTACCAAAAATCATTGTCCTTTTTCGTTGCTGTTGTCGTCTTAAGTTTTCCGTCTTGTTCCGAGGCTGATTAGGATTTTTTGCGGTATAAGAATACAGATAATGGGTTGCAGGCCCATTGCTCCGTTTGATTTTCTGTAGGGGTTTCTTCCCTTAGCCGATGTGTCCCAGTTTTGAGGCGCCAGGAACTCGCCTTTTACCCATCTCTCGTCGGTTACATCACGTACACCCATTGTACGCAAAGCATCCAGCGGATACGCGACACTGTTGTGTCTTCGAGGACGTGAGAGTAGGATTTGTTGGTAGAGCTGAGTTCTATTTCTAGAACCCCCAACTCATTCGTTGGGAAACAGTGGGCATTTCTCGGAGTTTTTATTGCGATCAGGGTATCGGCATGCCATCACGCCTCCAAGACCCTTTACCAACCTTAACCGCGGAAATTTTTTCAAGGCATTAAAACTGCTTACCATCAAGAATGTGAGAAGTATATAAAGAGTAGAAATTATGAACAAATTAAAAACAGTGATTTTTGGAAATGCTTACAATTGGGTTACCTCGATAGAGAAGGCTTTAAATGGACTCAAAAGTACAGGAATAATGCCTACTTGACATGATTCTACGATTTGTTACAGTAAAGGTCGATGGTGCCTTAAACAATTAAAATAGGAAAAATTAGGAAATGTAGGCGGTGATATAATAACGTGAGCTGAAAGACACAACGGAGAGACCAGGAGAAGTATAAAATAATAAGTAATTACTGCTAATATTGATCCTTTCGCGATGGTACAGTAATTATATGTTCTTTAATATTCCAGCACGTTTTTGTCGATATCCCTATTGTAAACATTTTACAATATTATCGTGTAATTTTCACATCATTATATGTAAATTACTTATATAAAAACGAAATATTATGTTCGTTTCGAAAGCGGTATAGATCGCATAAAACAGTAGAAAATAGGTCAGCACTTTCATAAAATAGTGCCGAATCAATCCCCCTAGAATAACGACGACATTTCAGTAAGGCGCCGAAAGGGAGTTAAAAAAAGGTTAATGAACCGTAAAAAAATAACGCGTAAAACAGACTAAACCTTTAAAGATCATAACATATCGAATTTTTACAGTAAACAACTGCCTACCTAGATGTAATAATCTATAAAATAAGTTTTTTAATAAATAAATGGAATATTTGGAAATCAAAATATAGAAAAGGATACCAATGAATGGACAATAAATCAACGCTACAAAACTACTGCAGTAATGTAGGCAGACCTGAGAATACATAGTCCATAGGGATCCATATAATTTTTCATGAGTAAAATTATACTTAGCTTCATTTTGACAAGACGCTCAACTTTTGTTCTTACAACAATTAATTTGCGTTTGTGGTAGATAATAGGGGTCTTCTTCTTCTTGATGTTCCAATCCGTTACGAATGTTGGTGATCTCATGGCAATCTTTATATTATTTGCAGCAGCGCGGAAAAGATGCACAGATGTTGTATTGAACCAGATTCTGAGGTTCTTTAACCAAGATGTTCTTCTTCTTCCTGGACCTCGCTTTCAAAATATTTTTCCTTGCAGAGTGGATTGAAGGAGAGCATATCTGGATTAATTTCGCATAATATGTTCAAAGAACTGAAACTTTCGAGATTTAATGGTAGTCAGTACCTCTCAAAAGAAATAAGATGCCGCATTGAAATTGCGCGGTCAACTTTTAATAGAATGAGAAAACTTTTTTGTAATCGCGATATCAATATATCGCTCCGGATAAGAATGCTTCGATGTTATATTTTCTCTACCCTCTTGTATGGAGTTGAAGCTTGGACACTTAAAAAATCCAACATTAAAAACCTAGAAGCATTCGAAATGTGGTGTTACCGACGCATTTTGAAAATATCATGGATGGATCGCAAAACAAACGAACAAGTTCTCGAACAACTAGGAAAACAATGCGAAGTTTTAAATTCCATAAAGATCAGGAAATTGGAATACTTGGGGCACATCATGAGAGGTGAAAAGTACGAACTACTAAGGAACATAATGCAGGGTAAAATCAAAGGTAAAAGAAGCGTAGGAAGACGTAAAATCTCGTGGCTACGCAATCTCCGTGAGTGGTTTGGATGCAGTTCAATTGAACTATTCAGGCGAGTAACCAATAAAATTATAATTGCCAGAATGATTTCCAATCTCCGATAGGAGTGGAACTTGAAGAAGAAGAAGTACCTCTCGGTTCTTATTCATTCTTCTGAGGACCTCCTCATTTATGACTCGGTCAGTCCACGGGCTCTTAAGTATTCTCCGATATAGCCACATTTCAAATGCTTCCAGTCTTTTGCACATATCTTCGTTTAAGGTCCACGATTCAACACCATAAAAAGGACAGAGAAGACGTAGTATCGCAGCATTCTTACTTTTTTATCAAGAGAGAGGTTGTGACTTTTGAAGAAGGCCCCCATCCGATTGAAGGTGGATCTAGCTTTTACGATGCGTGCTCTAATCTCCTGGTTGTTGGTCCATTCTTCATTTATTATGGTGCCGAGGTAGTTGTAGTCCGTCACTCTTTCTACGGGAGATTGGTTGACGTAGAGTTGACCTTCTGTTATCCTTTTCTTGCTAACTATCATAAGCTTTGTATTCTTAACGTTTATGTTGAGTCCATATTGTTGACTGTAATACGTGATTTTGTTCATAAGAACTTGTAGGTCTTCTAAGTTGTCCGCAAATACTATGGTGTCATCTGCATATCTGATGTTATTTGCCGGTAACCATTTAGTAGAATACCTTTTTCAGTTTCGTGCAAACGTTCGATAAATATCCTTTCAGAGTACAGATTGAAGATTAAAGGAGACAAAATACAGCCTTGCCTCACTCCACCCATAATTTTCACATAGTGTGTTCACCTTCAAGTCTGAGATTTGCTGTCTGATTCCAGTAAAGAGTTCTAATTATTTTCAGATCTTGGTTGTTAATTCCTGCTTCTTTTAGTATTTGCATTATCTTGGCGTGCTGTACTCGATCCAACGCTTTCTCATAATCAACCAGACATGCGTATACGTTGCAGTTGACGTCTATGCATCTCTGGAAGACTTGTACTGAGAAAAAAGCCTCTCTAGTACCAACAGCAATTGTGAACCCGAACTGGTTGGGAGAAATTTGACTTTCACAGAGCTTGTAGATTAGCAGAGCTCTTATGAATTATCTTTAGGAACAATTTTAGGAGATGACTCATGAGGCTTATATCAGGGATGAAATATAACAGGGGTAGTAGGGATGAAATATGTTGATTTGACGATTCTCAAAAATTTATTACTAATGGAGTTTTTTCTTGTTTATTCTCAATATCTACATTAGCCGAAAAATATTTGTCCTCCAAAAAGCAAGGTTTTATCAGAGTTCCCCCTTTCTAACATGTATCATTAAGGAGGTCATGAAAAATAATTACTAACCACCTAATTGTTTATCTGTTGGTTAGTCAATATTTATATAATTTACACCCACATTGTCCTAAAAATTGCGTGGTACGTATCCTGGTCTAAGGTACAAAAGTTGTTAATGTCACAAGACCAGTTTATTTTTAGTAACTGTATAACAACCGTATCACGTGAGAGGTTAGTGTATTTTTTATCCAAATCAAACAATGTCCTACAATAAAACATGTATGTAGCGCTAGTCCGACCAGAATTCTAAGTTAAATATTGTATGTTTGTTGGAAAGGGGGGACTTTGATAAAACCTTGCATTTTGTAGGACAAATATTTTTTCGGCTAATTTGGATAATTATCTTGAGAATTAACATAAAAACCGTTAGTAATAATAAGTTTTTGTGAATCGTCAAATTAACATATTTCATCTCTGCTACCCCTGTTAGCTACCACAAACGCAAATTGTTGTAAGGGCTGAGTTGCTGAGGTCAAGTTCCTGGAATGAATCTAAGGAGAATCAAAGATGGCATGATAGGAGAAAGTCTATGAAGGAGATGCCAGAGGCAAAATAGAAACAAATGGGTACGTGTAATTAGATTAGTCGAGCAAGTATACAATAGACAAAGAGTATAAATTTAGTACAACTTCAGGTAAGAATAATAATGTAATTAAAGACTTGTCCAGTCAATATACTATCTACAAACTCTGTCAGATCACGTGTACCACACTCAAACCTATCAGCTCAATATTATGTCCAAACTTCAATCTTGAATAAGTAGAGGAAGCCTAAGGGTAGCTTTTATACCCAAAACAAGACAGGTAAAGCCAAGTCTCTGAGGTCGATAAGTCTGATGTCACTTGTACTAAGGAGTCTAGAGAAATTGCTAGATAGGCACATTAGGAATGGTGTATTGGCTGAAAACCTGATACATTAGGGACAGTATGCGTATAGAGCAGTGTCTATACTGAAATGGTATGCACCATCTCGTACAAAGGATGGAGTACGTTTTGGAAAATCAATAGGGGATGCTGGTTAAATTTCAGGGCCCATTTGTGGGCCCTTCAGACACTTAGACCTCCTAATACGTTTCCATTGTATCACCCCTGTCATACGGACTACCTAGAGAGAGCATTCGACAACACCTATTATGAAGCTATCACAGGGGCGATTCGTCCAAAAGAAATAGACGAAACAAGTTGCAGTTGGTTAGATTGGACGCTGAGGAGCCATGTGATATATGCAATGTTACAGTGAACAGGAGGATACAGAGTCAGCTTGTGGGGTAGTCTTATCTGTAGGGCGAGTTATCTTCTCTCTTAGAATCTTTTCAATGGTGGGCTAAAGTGATTGGTGGACTTAGTAATGACAGACATCCATCATGGGGATGATATGGTCTTTTTAGCCAAGGGCAAATGCTGCACAGTTAGAGATATAATGCAAAAGGCTATGACTATAGTTGCAGAATGGACTTCAAATGTGTGGCTAACAAGCCTACAGACGTCCAAAATCATGAAATTGACCAGAAGGAGAAATTTAGAGGGATTGGATCCTCGAAGCATAAATGGTATAAATATAAATCTAATGAGTGAATTAAAGTACCTTGGAGTACTAGACTCGAGACTTTCTTGGAATCAGCAGATCAAACGAATAACCAACAGAGCGGTAACTACCTACGTTAATGGTAGCCAGATGCACTCACGGATAAACAGAGATGTTATATTAGATTATAACATGGTCGTAAAAACAACAAATATGGTCTATCGGACTGGTCTATCGTCAACTGATATATTTCGAGCTGCTGTGAATAGAATAATATGGGTCAATGTGGTCGTCACCATCACTAGAAGACAGGCACATTTAGAAGAAGAATAAGATTGATAAGATAGTAGGAATTTTTGTGTTGCATTTTTCCGACAATGATTCTATCAAAATATTCCCAAGCTGAGAGAACCGACTATATATGTAAAAAAATAATGGAACAGAAAATGTGAGAAAGTATGAAATTTCTTGAGCACACATTAATTCTGTCACTACACTTTTATCACTTAAAAGTAAAATAAAATAAATATGTAATATAATAACAAAATTAAGTTCGTCTTGTGGACGAAGTAGGTTACAGCATAATCAAAAAATGGGATAAAATCGTCACATTTTGAAACGGATGATAAGCTGTGTCAAATTTTGCAGTACTTTTGAATTAACATTTAGTAGTGATAGTAAGAATGAAGGAAGGGACCTATTTTATTTTTCCACCCAGTTAAATGAGACCCTTAAAAATAATTTACAAAATACAATAGCATTAAAGGTACTTTTAAAAAAAATTAAAAAAATTCAAAATTATATTTTAGATAACCTGTTAAAGTTTGTATAGAAGAAATTTTGAAACAAATTAAAAATACAGATTTGTTTTTTCAATTGCATGGAATGAATCCAGCGATATTATAATCAATGCGACCTGATTTTAATATATAGACAGTTCCTTACATAGGTGGCATAAAAACTTCGTTGAGTTTTAATGATAGTTTAGAGATAGATAGAAAAGACGACAGACTGTAGCTTTAAAAAACTCTATATAAGATAAAATTGGACCGCTTCTTTTGCAAAGTCCTGAAAAGATGATAACCCCAACACACGATGGTGCGAATGCTATTAGTGATTCACTGGGTGGGGTCCAAATTCATAGTAAAGAAAAATATCCTAATAAACATTTCACACATTGATATGCCCAATAGCTAAAGTTCATTATTCAGAAAAAAAGTTCGCTTCCATATGTGTCGGTAATCCTTTTTTAAATTTAATCCATAGATGTAATATTTTAGAATCCCAAAGTAGCTATCACTGGATGGAACTACGGATAACAATCGCAAAGGTAATTTCGTCTTTGATTACAGTGAAAAAATCATAGACTTGTTTGAAACAATTGAAGAGAGATATGTTAAAGGTTTTTCTTTAAATGAAGAGTAAAATTTGAGAAAACAAGAATATTCCTTGAAATATTACACCGCGTTGGTAATGGATTTGAACTGTTAATTAAAGATGCATATTAAAAACATTCCCAAAATTGTCCTTGTGATATTTTCAATATCCGAGCTACTTTTTATACTACGTTGTATATGGTCAGATTGAAAACATTTTTATCACGTCAGAATCATTATGTCATTTTTCGACTCTTAAGAGCATAAAAAAAAATGTAATGATAAGGAAGGCAACTTACTTACCAACAAAGAGGACATCCTTTTACGATGGGTAGAGCACTTTCGAGATTTGCTGGAAGGGGAACCTACTAACAATATAGAGCTGGAATACCGAAATGAGGAACTCGTGGAACCCCCCTCGGTAAATGAAGTAAAAACATCTATAGAAAAATTAAGGAACCATAGGTCCCCAGGCAGCGATGGCATCCCAGCAGAGTTATTTAAGCACGGTGGAGAGCAGCTCACCAAGGTGATGCGAGAAATTGTTTGTAGAATTTGGTCTGAGGAGCAAATGCCAGAAGAATGGAGCTTAGGCTTAATTTGCCCGTTACACAAAAAGGGAAACCAACTGGAATGCAATAATTACCGCGGAATAACTCTCCTAAATACAGCATACAAGATATTATCAAATATTTTGAACGAGAGATTAAAGCCTTATACTGAAATTTTTATAGGGGAATATCAGGCAGGATTCAGGCCTGGACGTTCAAGCATTAACCAGATCTTTACACTACGACAGATCCTCGAAAAAGCGCAAGAGTTTAACATAGATATGTATCATATTTTTGTCGATTTTAAAGCGGCATATGACAGTGTCTTAAGACCAAGTCTTTACAACGCTATGAATGAGTTAGGAATTCCAAAAAAACTCATACGTTTGATAAAAGTGACAATGGCGAATATGCTATCAGCAGTAAAAATTCAAAACGACTCGTCAACCCCATTTCAAATACATAGGGGTTAAGGCAGGGAGATGCGCTGGCGTGTCAGCTTTTTAATGTCGCCTTAGAAAAAGTTGTACGAGACGCTAAATTAGATAGCAGGGGAACAATATTTAATAGATCAATCCAAATTCTAGCATATGCAGACGACGTGGACATTATAACAAGAACTAGGGCGAGAACTGCGGAAATCCTAACCGAGCTAGTAGCAGCAGCAGAACGAATGGGGTTACATATAAATCAAAATAAAACCAAATTCATGGCGACTAACACAAACACAAGAGCTGGAAATGTTGACACAAATTTAATCATCAATGACCAAAACTTCGAAGCAGTCAATGAGTTCATATAT